AACCCAATCTATGCAAGCATTTCAGTGTCCTTTCCCAAAGTTGTCTCTCTCTCCATTGGGACTCCTGTTTGCTGAGGTGTATAATACATGACCAGAAATCTCTAGCAATAATTTCACCAGTGGCGACTTTTCTTTAGAGTTCTTCCTGTTCCCAGGCCACCCGTAATCCATGAACTTCTATCTGGGACAAATGGTTGCTCACAAGTCAGGATTACTCTCTTTGCAGGGGTCTTAGGAAGTTTATGCTGAGATTCCTGGGGTGGCTGCATGAGGAGGCAGGTGGGAGGCGCCTGGTGTGCAGCTTTTGCATTTGGTCTTGCCTGTTCTCCTAAGAGCCCTGTTGTACTTCATCCCTCTCATGGATATGTCTAACTTCAGATGCCTAGAGATCTTTGGCTCAGCTCTAAATTCTAGAATGCACATAGGGGCTTGTGGGCTGTTTATTGAGTGCTACATTTTAGTCAGCTCACAAGACAGTCTTGCTGGAAAATAAATTTATTGTCCTCCCTCACCCTCACGTTCAGTGACTCCTGCCTTACTGCTTCCCCTTGGAAGGCTTTGGAAGTCCTTGGCGCCATCCAATAGCATCATGGAGGTAATCCTGTGTTGTTGTTGTTGTTTTTTAAATGTCACTTATGGCAGATGCAATTTCTACTTGGTTAATTTGCATGTGGTTGATCATGTATATTCAATCTGGTAGCAAAATGCTAGCAATTTTTTCTTAAGTTGAAATAAAAAATGGGTCATGGAACTGTCCCACATGAGGGACTCTCAATTAGGAAACTGCCCTGTTGCTTTCTTCTTGCTGGAGTTGGATGGACTGATTTTAATATATTCTAGTTGATAGGACTGGTTTGTTCATTTGGTTTGAGCCTCATTCTAATGAGGCCAAGGGTGTACATCCCGTCTCAGTAGGATCTGTGAGTGTATCCCCCTGGGCACTGGAGGCCCCACTCTCCCTGTTCACCTGCACATACCTCACAGACATCACATGTTGGGTATAAAGGACTGTATATTCTATTCGGTGATGTCAAACATCTTGCTTACTAGGGGTACTCAAGGGAAGAAGAGCAGGAAATTCAAAGGAAAATACCATCCTATATAATAATCCTACATAATAAAACGGTAATATGCAAATCGACCAAACAGTGGAACCACCAGTCACTATGACGTGCACTGACCACCGGGGGGCAGACGCTCAACACAGGAGCTGCCCCCAGCCCACAAGCCTCAATCGCCCATTTGGGGACTGCTGGCCAACCTCTCAGTCCCTCCCCCCTGGCCTGCAGGCTCTGATCGCTGATGGGGAACAGGGAATCGGAAGTGGGTGGCGGCGGGGGCGGGGCTGGCTGTTGGTAGTTGGGGAAGATGGCCCTGATTGCAGGCCAGGCCTAGGGACCATACCCGTGCATGAATTTCGTGCACTGGGCCTCTAGTCTAAATAATGATAGTATGAGTATGAGTTGTCCATTTGGAAGACATACAGAAAATGCATGGAAGCAGCAGCACTATGATGAGCAAGGCAGTGAAATCACTGAAGTGGTTCCTCTTTCTTCAATGGTGGGGGAGATGCTCCTTGGTTCATGTGCAAATTTAAGGGAACAGGAGGGAAAACTGTTCAAGGTATCTTTGCTCAGAAAGGACAGAAGCAATGCAAGACTGTTATTATAGCTGCCTCCAGGCAACAGAATGCTGCCAAGTGCCTCCCTTTTGAGTTTTTGACAGTTGCTCAAGTTTCAATTTTTGAAAAGTTGGAAGGTCTGGCTATAGAGTATGTTAAAAGAATTTTTGCCTTTTAAGCATAGACTTCATTGTGCTGTAGATTATTTCTTAGTGTTCACTTGGTACAGACCTAGGTACTAGGTACTCAGTGGCTAGATCGCTGTCATCTTTGTGTGGTTCAACTGACAATTTATTTTCCTGTTTCATTTGTTCTGAACTGGTGGTCTACATAGCTTTTCACTTAAGCGACGATTACGTGTCTGTTCCCCTCAATCAACATTTGCTTCATGTACCATTCTACCTAGTAGCAGTAACAGTGCTTTCCTGTTTCTTTGGGTTAATTCTTCTTCAAACTTCTTTACTCTTTGGCATGTTCCTTAAACGTGTAATCTTGTGATGTCTCTTTTTAGAATACCCAAGAAGCAGGGATTTTAAAAGTTGCAAAGCTAGAAAGTCCTGCCCCCAAGATCTTCCCCACCAGGAGTAAGTCGCTTCAGTGCATACTGCCTTCAAGAACCAAAGTGCAAGTCCCAGGTCTGCGAGGGACCAAAACTATAACTCAGGACAGGCCCCCGGGGTAACACCAGTGGAGCAGTCTAGCAGATACTTATTTGAAATTGCTTAAAATTAAAAAAGGAAAAACTACTGTAGTGATACAGTTCAGAAAATAAGTCAGTTCGTGGGTAGGTGGTACAACTTGCTGTCAGTAACCATGAAGGATTTTGCACAAACACCCTCACTTCCTTTCTTCTGCTGTTTCTCAGCTCTTCCAGCAGGTGTCACTATAACCACAGAACAAACATTCCACAGCTTGGTATGTTAACTTTATTTTTCTAGCATAATAATTTAAAGTATTTACACACTGCACACTCACTGTCTTACACAGATACTTATTCATATACCTATGAACCACATCTAAAGACCGGACACACTGTGGGGTTTCCAAGCATAAAAAGGAGACAAAAATGTTTTGAGTCTTTTAAAGATAGCCATGTGGAGCATCTGTGAAAACCAGTGTTTCCCTCCAAGTCTGAGGCTCCCCAGGAGACCTTGGAACAGCTACAGCCTGTGACATGTTGGTGTCACCCGAACTCGTCTGGTTAAGGAGAATTTCAAGAACCAACATGTGCAAGTTGCATTTTCTCTAGAAATCCCAGAAAAGAAACAGGAGAAATAAAGCTGGTCCTTCTCTAGAGAAACACCGGTGTTTCTGCAACAATTATCTCTGAGGATTGTAAATGTTGTACAGGGACACTGGTGATTAAGAGGGAATAGCTAAGTACACTGTGCTAATCCTAGTGATGTAGGATGCTCCTAAGCATCCTTTCCAGTTAAATATGGCAAAACGGTTCAATTTTCTTTTCCCAACTATTAGTAGATGCTTGTTTTGCTTTCCCTACAAAAAGACAAAGATATATTAATCATACACACTCCAAACCCAGATATTAGAATTGTCTACTCGTTTTTACTTCACTTTTATACTATTTGCACAAACATAGTGGTTAGAAGTACCCCATTTCCTCTCCTTTCTTCTCAATTCCAAAACAAAATTACTAACTAGCTATAGCTTCTGACCCTGGGACATGGTTCCCTAACTGAACAGCAGCAGCCACAGTTCGGAGCTAATGGTAGTAGGTAGGCCCCTCGTTTTTATAAAAGGATGACAGGCTGAGTTTCAACTTTCTGGTGTTGAATGTTTGTTAAGCAGCAGGATGTCCTCATTTTCCCCCAGACTGGCCTGATTATCCTCTCGTTTGCCGTAAGAGAGGACGTTTGCCACTTCTGGGTGAACCCACAGTTCCATCCTGGGACTGGATGATGATAGATCGGTTCACTAAGAAAAAGAACTTCAGAAAAATGACATCTTCTTTTCCTGCCAGTTTGAGCCTCTGGCAGTGCTAATCAACGGAGCATGGTGAAGGGGAGACGTTATCTGGCCAACTGAAATTTAGCACAGTCTTGACCCAAATTGCTATGGTATTTAAAGTTTATTAACTGTTGCTTACATTAATGGAAACTTAAGGTAAAGCACAAATTCTATCACTTTTTCTTGGATTCAAACACATTTGAGATACGAGTATATCAGTTGTTCTCAACCTTCTGGCCCTTTAAATAGTTTCTCATGTTGTGACCCAACCATAAAATTGTTTTCGTTGCTACTTCATAACTGTAATGTTGCTACTGTTATGAATCGTAAATATCTGATATGCAGGATGGTCTTAGGCAACCCCTGTGAAAGGGTCGTTCGACCACCAAAGGGGTCGTGACCCACAGGTTGAGAACCGTTGGGACTATATAAACCTACCTATTGTGTTTATTTTTCTCAGTTACTGTGCTTGCCTGTTATTTTCCTTTTGCAGGGGGGTGCTGACAATGGAATTGAAGAGGTAGGAGTTTTTATATTTTATGGGGATTTTACCAAGTTACATGAGCAACTGACTAATATTCACCTACAACTGTTACGAGAATATGTGATTAGAAAGGGACCACCTGGGAAGAAATGCTGCTTAATGAGAATGTCTAGATTAAGTAGCACTGAGTCAGGCCAAGGAAGCTTGTCATTGACACCCAGTCCATTCCATCATGCAGACAAACAGGTCAGACTGTGGCGAAGAACACAGTGTGGAGGGCAAGGAAGAGTGGGAAACTTTGTGATGGGATCTGGGCCTCAGTAAAGAAGGCTAAGAAAGTGGCCTCACATTAATTCTACAGCAAGGCAGCATCACTAAGTTTGTTTGGGTTTTTTTTTTTGGCCTTTTGTTTGTTCAATGCAAAACAGAGTTGAAAGAGGGGGGAAAAAAACTATAGTTTAAAAGGGACAGGGGATGAGAAAGGCTGAGAGCTATGGGAGTCTAGCAAAATGCCTGGTTATTTGATGAAATTGCCCCTTCTGACCTATAAAAATAGCAGTTTCATATGGTTCAACTTAACATGCCATAAGTTCTCACATATAACAATCCTAGTTTAATAAAGGTCATAGTAATATTCTCCCTACCCCCTGGGGAAGTGACAGCTGTGAGAGGGTGAGGGCTTCCTCAACATCGGTGTTTAACTGCCAAAAAGCACCTGTAAGGAGGAGTTAACCAGCCTTCCAATCAAGTGAGGACAGAAGAGGTGAGGAGCTCAAAGGAACAGGAGGCTGCACGCTGTGGGAATCAGTAGCAATGGGAAAGGGCAGAAGGGGGCGGCCAAGAACAGCTACACACGTCATCACTGGTCATACTCAAAGGGTCGCTGGGTATGGTGTCTCTGTATATGTACTATACATACTAACCAGGTACACACATAAATATTTAATATATAAAAAATAAAGTGCTTTCTAACAGGTCCCCAGGCAGGGACATTATAAAACATTTCACAAAACTGCAAAATAAAATCGATACAATCAAAGAACACTACATCCAACATACGTGAGAACAGTCAAACACAGTATGTACAATCTGGTGGGTGTCCCAGGACAAACATCCTGTCATATACATGGTATATACATATATACTCTTTTACTCAATATATTATGACAATATATATTTAAAATTTTGTTATAGACAAAAAAATAAAAGACAACCCCTACAAAAACACAACAAGGATCAAGCACGTGAGTCCTACACTGAGAGACCGATGGCTGCCTCCTCGGGGCGTCTCGTGCCCACTGCTTGGGAAAATGTGCCAGCGTTCCTTCCTGGGGTGCAGCGCCTCCACGTCCTCCAAGGCGCTGTGGGCAGCTGCGGTGAAGTTGGCGTCACCAGTGGTGAGCAGGTCGAAGACACAGGACTGGAAATAGATGTCCTTCACTGGCATCTTCTCGTGGCATTGAGCGTTGGCAGTCTCCAGTGTGTAGCCGGGCCAGGCCTGTGCCAGAGAGGTGTGAGGCAGGGTGTGCCCCAGGATGGCAGACACCTGGCCCTGCCCGTCGTCGATGCGCTCGCTCAGGGGGCAGCCATTCACACACAGCTGCAGGTCCTGGCTTTCCTCGTAGGACATGGCCAGGTCTTCGGGCATGCGGATGGCGAGGGTCAGGTAGCGACCCAGCTGCCGCACAAACACCGTCGTCCCTATGTAGCGGGCGTGCATCTCCACGTAGCGGCCACTCTCCCTTTCCACGATTCGCAGGCTCTTGACGTCGCCGTCCCCACCGCTGGTGCTGCCATCCACAAAGGCAGCCGGCAGGTCATCGGTCACAGCTTGGTATACTTTCTGATCTGTACACTCACGGTGGGCTTTGAAGATGATCGTGATCTGTGGGAAGGAGGAACATGCACAGTTAACACAACAGGAGGGAAAAGGACGGTGCATCCCTCTGTAGCAAGGGCTTTCCTCACTCTGGAGTTGAATAGCTAGAGAAGAACCTCCACATTCAGCCCCTCACCAAGAAGAAGGTTGCTGTGAGGAAAAATTAAGAAGTCCTGTGTGTTTAGAATGAACATTTAACACAAGTCCAGGGATGTGCATGAGGAAAATGTCTCTTTACTGAGTCAGAACAATGTTGCTGTTGGGATATAGGCAGTTTTTATTGATCGTTTATATCTGGTCTCTTTCCAAAAGCAGATGAGTGGTATAGTTCTGAGAAAAAAAGATTCCTTTCTAAATTAGGCAATTAACAATATACCTACCGAACTTTGATTCCTAAAAGGTTTCTTCATTGGACTGTAAAAATATCCCATGACTCAACACTACAAACTTACTTGTGACCACTGGGGACGTAGCAGAGAGTTGAGGGGTCATCCCAGCGGCAGCTACCACACAGCTACCGAGCAAGGGCCTCAGGAAAGATTTCTCTAAGTCTCTTAATCAAATGTTTCACATGACTGGCTAATCCCTGCGACAGGAAAATCACTTGGCAAATACAGCTCCCAAGCACTGGCAGAGAATAAATACCCTAAACCTAGTTACAGCAAATGTTTTCCCCAAATAGCACACGGCCCTGCAGCCTCTCAGAATTCTCCCAGCCAACTCTCAATTCTCCAAATTAAGCAGACAATTCATGGAGAGAAAAAACCCTCGACAATACAAAAGCTTCCCTTCAGTGAACTCACTTTCTTTCCTTAGTGAGAACAATTATTTTAAAAAAAACTGAACCTTTGAGCACCTAGGCCTCTAACACTGCCAACCTCTCCCGTGCAGGTGGTGAAAGGAAGAGACAGGACCTCCTGGTCTCACAAGGTGGGAAAACGGTCCCGAAGAAAAAAGGACTACATTTTGAGATTTGTGTTATTGTCAGTCACTGAGGTAACAGCTTATTTTTCTTTCTTCTGGGAGGGAAAAAAAAAGTATCAGGTGACTTCAGTCAAGGAGGAAGGTAGACAGGCCAACACACTACAAATTACTCTGGATGGAGGAAACCACCTCCTGCAAGGAAACTAATCAAAACAATAGACCCTTGTTAAAAAGGCCAGAAAAGGCCCTGGCCCCCTCCCGCCCCTCTCTCTACGAGTCCTCACCACCACCCTCAAGTTTATGTCTGAAGTTTTTTTTCTGAACTCAGCCAGCATTTGCTCACACTATTTAATCCCACATGTTCCCACTGGTGTTACTTGACTGGAATTTTCCAGCCATTTCATTTTACTTCAGCCAGTTGTAAAGCCAGATCTGAACCAGCTGCACTGTAGCAACTGGTTAAATTCATATCCGTTGTTTGCAGCTGCAACTAAGGCCAGACAATGTGCTATGAAATGCTTGGATTTCTCCCTTTCTAATTACCCTGAGCCACAATTTAATTTCACTACCAGACTTCTCACATTTCAACACCTTCTTAACAACCCAAAGGAGGTGTACCAGAGATGAGTTCAGGAAATTTGTTGTGCATCCAACCATAGGACCTTCCAGAGTGAATGGGATTTTGAGCTAGGTATCTAATGGGACTATAAAACAGATTTATTTGGTGGCTCTAAAGACAGTTTGACAAGTTTTTTTTGTGTGTGTGTGTTTTTTTCTAAGACAAGCCAGGATCCCTTGCAGGTGAAAAGATTAACTCAAGTAAATTCTGCACCTGAGAGATTCAAAGTTAATATAAATGGCTAAAATAAGAGTTAGTAATAGACTTTTCATATAATCAGTATCCTCGCTTTCAATGAGAACATTCCCAGATTCCACAAACTCTTCTGCAACAGCTAAGTAATTTGTTTTTTGAGTCTAACAAACCTCAAATTTAAACCGACTTGTTATTTGCAAGAATTAAGTACTTTTTGTTCACCTAAGAAAAAACAAAGAGGAATTAGTTTTGTTAGGAAAACAGAGGAGAGATCCAGTTCCACGGGAGTTTCCAAAAAGGCAAGCATGGGTCAATATTAAGATGAGTGGAGTCCTTCCACATGTCTTCCCAGGGATCTGTTTTCACTGAGCACACCCATCCTACCCAGGACTCATTTCAAACCCTCACACGAATGCCCTGCTATGCCTGTGACACACCTTGAGAGGATCAAGTAAAACTCGAAGCTTGACTTCTGCACAAGTATCTACACTTACAAAATATTCCAGCTTATCTAAAAGATTTTTATCTGTCCAATTCCTTGGGAGTGATATTCTCTGAGACACTGAAGCTGAAATTTCTCTGTGGGGTGAAATACTCACAGAGCCTATGTATACAATTTAGCTCATGAATCAAAATACTGAGGGTGATGCATCGATCTCAAAGCATGAGGGGGTTTCCTAAGTGGTCCTCTGTAGTTTAAGTACGTACCTAGAGATACCATCCATGTAAATGTTGAAAACACTAGGTAATACTTTCACGTGACTTAAGTTTTGTAATGCAATTTCATTCCTCATATAATTACAATACAAGCTCTTAAATAGCAAGCACTCAGCCATAAAGGGCCAGAAATTCATTTTCAGATTCTGTCTCCCTCTTCAGAAAAAACATTAATAACTCTTTTAAAACATTTAAAATTTAATTAAAAAATTTGGAAATTCCAAACCTTTTGTATTTCCAACTAGCAGTTATCAGAGCTTTGTAAAAACGGTATTCAAAATCATATTCTAAAGCTCTCAGATAATTTTAAAACACCAGCTATGCTGCTTTCTTTTCTCCCTCTATGAAGAGATCCATATGCTGTAATAACTCAATTTGGCACATCTGTTCTATGCCACACCATTTATTATTGATGGATGGCATTTCTGTGCATTTAAAACATCAATGCCTTTTGTTAAACCTCCCCCACCCAGTTCCTCTCAAACCCCACCTCAGACAACCTACTCCAGTTCTCCTCATTCATTTTTAATATTCACTCCCTGAGATCTTTACCACCCACAAGGTCTATCAGGAAGAGAAAGATAGCAGCTACAAATCAACCTTTCCACACATGAAAGCAAGAAAGACTTAAGGTTTGCTGTGAAATATCAAAATTTAGAGGCATCTGGGGGGGGGGGGGCACATGGGGGACAGGGAGGATGCATTTAAAAAAAAATGAGGTAGCCAACAAAAAGGAAAACTCAGGCACTGTCTTGCCAAGATACAGTATCTTCCCAAGCTCAATAGCCTTGTAAAGTGCTGTGCACAGGTTTTCAAACAGCAGAATTCCCCAAAGGTTGTGCACTTAACTATTTGTGCTCGTTGCCTTTTGGAAGAAACATTTATCAGTGTTTAATCAGGCCATTTGGCACGGCAAGTGCAGGACCTTCCGGGAATCCTCCAATACCAGAACTGGACTTCTCGGTCAAGGGACTCACATTTCTTGGATTAATGGGCCAGCAAACTAAAGTGAAATTGTCACAGAAATTAGCTTGGAACACGGGGAAACAATTTTGATATGGACCTGGTTAAAATTCTGCTTGTGTTAAAGGAACCTAAATGAATTTTATTTCATATGATTAGTTAATATGTCCCCTTCATCAAATTCTCTGGATGCATCACAGGTTGAAAAAATAGGTGACTCTGAGGGAGGATAAGAGACCATGTGCTCACAGCCCCTTTCCCAGGTAAGTGGCATAGAGCCTCTACCTTCAGTCCTGTGAGTGAGCAGAAAAGAAACCATTCCAACAAGAGCACATGCTTCCAAGACACACACATGCTCTATCTCCAGCTCTTAAACACCTCCTCTCTACTTCTCAAGTCAAAGCCTAGGACACTTGGAAGCACCAAAAGGAAGTAGAGGCTGTGAAGGCTCCTTCCTTCCAGTGTTTTCCCTGGTCACCCCCAGCCTCACCCCACCCGGACAGGGAAGCCGGGAAATGTCGATTTGGGTGGAGCTGAGTCACCCATCTAGGCTGGGAGGCAGGTGCCCGCCTTTGGTTGTAAGACGGGAGAACTCTGTGTCTCTTCCATTTGTAGGAGCAGGGGAGAAAAAGAGCATATTCATCTAGAATAACATTGTTTGAACAAAAGTTGGGTTGATTAATTACTGATGTCACTTACAATTTTCCTTAAAATTAAAGGGAAAACATTTGCCAAGAAGGTGTGATCTCAGTGAACTAGAGTCAACTTTTACAATCACTACTCAGCCTCTATATCAACTATCTACTACAGGAAGACTGAATGTAAGACTTACAAAAGTGTATTTTGTTAAATGATTGTGTTGGACTAGGACAAGACAGTATACATGTTTAAAAGGAGGGTGGAGGCTTAAAAAATCTTACCCTTGACTCCTTTTAGGGCTTGAATGAGACTAAGAATCAGCTACCTTTAAGAAATATCAAAACAGGTTTCTCTCCCCTCAGAGTCTCTTTCCACAGAGCTCTGTTCTAGGAACACTTACAGGAATCCAGGGAAATGGAATGGATCAGCTTATTTATTCTTCACTGTTGCCCCAGGTAATACATGCAGGAACAAGGGCCGCCTTGGCTGATGGAGGGGTTCTTGGCAGCAGACGGAGAAAGAAGAAACCAACCAGAGGGAAGGACACCCACAGCTGAGGCTGCTAGGGTGGTCCAGGGCAGAAGCACTGGGCTCGGAGGCTGCAAAGAGCATGCCAGAGTGAAAGGGAAGCAGGCCCAGGGATGACACATAAAAGGGACAGGCACAAAAACGTCCACTGCCAAAGAGTAAAATTTCTATACACTTAAAACAAGGAAGGCTGGAAGTATAAATAGGCTCAGAGACAGGGAAATTGGCTAGCTTCCTCGTACAGACCAGAGCAAGGCTGTGCGGAGCCACGAGGAAAAGGCCTCTGGTCCTTAAAGTCTCAGCCACTCCGAGAACTCCACAGGAACTTCTTGTTTGTTGGCTGTGCTCAGACTTTGCATACAGGGAGCTCAGCAAATGTAGGGACTCACTGTGCTTCTAGATGTGAAGTTAGGCATGTGTG